CTAAAACTAAAAGAACTTAGCTACTTGACACATGGAGAGTACTATGTAAATATTTTCCGTGCCATGAAAGTACTCAAGCAATACAAAATGGCTGTGTTACTGTTATAAATAGTATGCTTGGGAAGAAAATAGTTATTTTGACCAATTTTCTTAAGTATATTAGGTCTTGTAGATATCTGTATTTCACTAACATACAAACTTTTTCTAAGATAAGTTATTTTACTGTTTTCACAGCAATATCTTCTGTTTCCTTATCTTTCTAGTGACATTGAATTTTAGAATATATTACTTTCTATAATAAGAATGATAGAATATGATTGAATTTAGACAGTCTTCCAATCTGAAACTTTCAATAATGTTAACCTATTAAGTTCAGTTAATTTTACATATGCAGTTACAACTGACAAAGCTATTTATATCAACCGATTTTCTTGTTAAGAGAAATCTCCAAGTTTCCAGAAAGTTCTATTCTCTTCTATTCTGCTGTTTCTAAGTAGCATTAGCACAGATCCAGCACTTTTGTTTTTAATTGGAGTACGTGTAGAGAGGTTAGGTTTGGTTCATGATAAAAACGAAACAGAAGGAAGTTGTAAAAATCACCTAATAACTCAAGAGGTTTACCATGTGCTTAAATTAATAAAATGTATTCAACTTTCTGGATTTTAAGGTGACTCTCAGATTATTTCCAAGTGCTATAGAAGATATTTCAAGAAAGCTGAAGGATTTTAAATGAAACTGTCATTTGACCATATAAATTCTCATGTGTTTCTAGAAAATATCTATATAAACATTTGTTTAATGTAGTACTTTAATACATTTCAAAGCAGGTTGATTGGTTTAACAAGACAATAGTAAACAATATCCAGCTAAGAGATACACATATTTTAAGATATTTTTGCTATCAGGGAAGTGTACTATAGACAGAGAGACAGAGAAACAGAAAGTGAGTTAATTACATCCTCCCCTACCTCCATAGGAGGGTTGGCCACAATGTAACCTCTTATTCTCCATTCTCTTTTCTGGGTTTTGGGCATGCATGCACACACACCCAACATGAGTTTCAAGCCACCAGGTCCAGGACTTGAATCATGGTCAGTCACATGAGAGTTCAGTGCCTTAATCACTACACCACCTGCTGGCCTCCCAGCTAATAGATATAAAGAATAAAACAATGAACGAGATAATTTTCCTTTTCCCAAAGTTCTAGAAACTTTAGGAAGTCACATATGAGCATAAATAAAATATACACCGTGATTTATTGATGTTAGAGAAGTACAGTGTGCCCCTGAGAATTCATAAGGAGTCATCATTTCTAACTGGAAGGTTTTCTGAAGGAAATGACAATTCAATTTAAATGACCTCAAAAAATGAGTAGGATTTATTTTATTATTAATTAATTTATTTATTTATCTATTCACTATAGGGTGCACATGCTGACCAGCGACAAAGAGAGACAGAGAGAGAGAGAGAGAGGGGAAAAGTGAGAGGCAACCCCTACGGCAAATAGTCCTGCACAAAGCAAAAGAAATTGGTGATGACGATGATGTTAATAGAGGTTAACATCTATTTCCCCTTCTCTGCCATTCTCTTCTGGGGACTTCGGGCACATACACAAACATGACTAGTGTATTTCTTAAGTAGCTAGGTCCTGGACTCAAATCACACAATCGACTGTGTGGGATCCAGACCCATTTATTTCCACCCAATCTGCTGGCCCCAAATTAATAGGACTTCAACAAAGTACAGTGAGAAGGGAAAAATGAATGGAGTAGAAATAGAAAAATATACATATATCCAAATAATCATAAAATGTCTAGATGTTTAGAAATATTTTTTAATATTTTTTGTACATTCAATCACATTATTTAGCTTACAAAGTGAACACTTCAATATGTGAACATTTCTCCCCAGTCCAGTTGATCAAAATAATAACTCTGTAGTTACTTTATATATATAATAGATAAATTAAAAGAACTATAGCTGTAAAATAATTTTGAGGTTACAATGCACAGACCTCACACATCAGAGGAATTTATATTTCACTTAATAGGGAATGAAATAATTAAAAGGTTTTGAATAAAAAAACCAATGCACATAAGGAAGTATCATCTAATAATGGTGTAGGTGAAGTAAAATTCTCATGCAGAGTTGGAGAGCTCATGGTGAGACACACTTAGATGATGACGATGGAGGTTTGACTCCAGTCACAGTAAGACATAGAAACTTCCTCCACCTGGTGTGAGATACTCCAATAAAAATAGTGTTGAACAAATAGTTTCTATTCTCTGAGTGGAACCAACTGTATTACAACTAATTGAGAGCTTGTGAAATGAAGAATCAAATTAACATTGTGTCTTATTAAAATTATTGAAAGCAAAATGAATAATAATATTGAGTAAACTTGTAAAGAGACATAACAGTGGCCTTTAGCTATTTGTAGAATTAACAAATGCATCCTATTGTTAGTGGTTCTGGAAGGCAAAAAGGGGGAGAAAGGTGTATGTAAGCTACATATTTCAAAAGAAGATAATATTCTAACCATATTAAAATGGAATGATCTGGTTTCACATACAATATTCTCACTGCGTCAGGCACATGTTAAACAGAGTTTACGTGACACATGTAGGTAAAATATACATGAAAATTAAGGACAAGGTAGTAAGAACAAATAATTTTTTGCATAAACCACAATTATTGTTTTTAAAATTAATACTTTTATGAATTTTTTTGATCTTCTAATTTTCACTAAAGAATTTAGCTGGTATCACAATAACAATTTTAACATTGTATATTATTTTACTATAGTTGATAATAGGCATTTCTGTATGTTATTTAGCATACTGCATTTATTTATTTCTACAAAATTTTAAAAATATTTTATTACATTTTATTATGTTTTATCTAGTCTCTGACACAACACACATATTATCGTATCTTGATTTCATTGAAAACTCTAGGTGTATTAATGAGTAAACAACAGATTCAAAATATTTCAAATAATTATGACCATGACCAAACATAAAGGACTGTAATGTGTTTTATAAATTACAGCTAATTAGAAATATTTTTAGAGGTTAACCACCTTAAGTACTTCTCCATGGCATTCAATGCTATCTTATTTATTTCCTCCCTATATTCTAAGCAACCACAAATAAGAACAACTCAAAAGAAATTTGGAGTTCTATATTTCAAGAGTAGATTCTAGAATCTCTTCTCTGTATCTTTGCTATTCTTTTCCATTATATTGCATAAAAGAGCACTAACTAAATAGCTAAAATAAGTACACATAAAATAGCACAGCACTATATAAAATTAATATATAAACTATAAAATGTTAAATGTGCACTTGTTTTTATTTTACAATTTGCAATCTAAATTCAATGAATGGGTGTATGCTACATTTATTAAGAAACTTGACCATGACTTCATCTTGATAAAAGACTCACTTATTCTGAATAATTTTGGCCTTACTTATCTAAATATGTATTAAGATAGCCAAGAGCAGTTCTACTAGTATTCCTTTTCTTCATGTCTTATTCTTACTCTGCATGTTATAAATAAATTAGTTTGAATTTTATATGCAACATTGCCTACCTATTTCTGTTGGAAAGCACAAGAGAGAAGATGCTCAATTTCAAACAAATACCAAATTTCAGCATTTCATAAAAAGATTGCATTCTAATCAAATAAAATTAATCAATATTTCATTCGCTTCATATTTCATTATATGATTTTTGGTTTCTGTCATAATATATGAACATCAAAGCAAGAAAAAGATAGATTCTCGTAAGAAAATGTTCAAGATATTCCTTACCCCAACAACTCTGTGCACACATCAAATGATTCAAATCATTGGTTGGAATAATGAATTCCAGACCAGAAATCATTTTAGGCAGTGAGTTGTGCTATTTTGAAAGCTTTTATACGGATTAGCATGCTTCCTTCTTCCCTGTGATCTGATTAGATAGCATTCAAAGGAATATGGGAAGATGAAACCATTATAAAGGCAAGAAACTTTTATTTCTAGATGTTTAGTATAGTCGATGAAATATATAACTGAAGGTCTATGAAACTCTTAACTTTGAGTTGAAACTTGTACTTAAATACTTGTGTATGCATAGGGTCAATACATTAACATATCTAAATATCCTCATGTACCAATTGTCTCTAAAGATGTGAATTAATCAAAATATCTTGAACATTGTATAAAATTACAGTTTTATTTGGACCTGATGATATAATGATGCATCATAAGTCAGAGTTTAATATAGTCTTTGTGATATTGCAGCTCAAGGGTATAGTTAATCAAGTGGGAGGCCCAGACTTGTGAAGTAATTTTCCTAAATAACAATTTGTTGTGACAGATATGCTGATTCCTGAGTTCATGTCTAGCATTCTTCTTACTGTATTGAAATATAGTCTCTTATAATTTCATCTTAACTTTTTTTTTTTTTTTTATTTCTGGCCAGCAGCATTGAAGCAGCAGTAATGTAACACTCTACAATATCGAAGCCAAATGGGTACTGGGTTCATGTCTCCGTGTGCATGCTCAGTGCATGTGTGTGCTTACAATCTGTTTTGACTGAAGCATGGAGATCCTTTTGGGTACCTCTCCTGCCCTCAGAAAGAAAGAAATAACTATTTTTTTTAGAAATATTTTTTCTGCTTTTTATTAAGTTGCTGTAGGGCAGATGTACTCACCACAGACAGACAAAAACAGGGAGAGAGGGAAAGGGAGAAAAACCCTCCTCAATGGAGCATGATCAACCTGCAATCCTGTCTCTATTCCATCAGGATTTTGAGTGGGCTGGCACTTGCACCCTGCCTACTTTTCGAGTTACAGAGGCTTGGGATTTGAACTATATGGTTAGACATGTGGGATCTGGATTTCTTAACCACTAGACCATGGTGTTGGCTGTCTTTTCTGCTTGTTAAGAATACATTTACACAATGAAAAATGCTAATATTTCATCAAAGTAAATACTTTGTTGTTTTTATAGGCTTTTACATTTCTACTCCAACTGGACCAGGAGGGAGACAAGAAAGAGTAGGACTTTTAAGCCTTCCTTTGAATCCTACTTTGGAACCAGTCTGCCTTAGTTTTTGGTATGTTACAGACATACTTTAAATGTTGACTTATTTTATGAATAGCATTGCCTTTATCAGGTGGCCAGACTCTAAGTTCCCCAAAATATTGGCCAAATTTTAAAGTGTATATTATTACTTTTCCAACTGATAAAACTGCAAAATGCTGATAGACTTGCTTCATCTTTCTTAGCAACTCCCAAACCCAAGGAAAAAGAGGGCTTTTCAAAGATAGGAAGGCATTTAGAAGAATGTGCAATCCCCTGCAATCCCATGTATTCTAATGTAGGAATCCAAACATTTTTGTTTGTTTTTGAACTAGGTATTATATGTATGGTGAAAATGTCTATAAATTAAGCATTAATATCAGCAGTGACCAAAACGTGGAGAAGACAGTTTTCCAAAAAGAAGGAAACTATGGAGAAAATTGGAATTATGGACAAGTGACATTAAATGAAACAGTGACATTTAAGGTTTGTAAAGCACCTTGTGATTCATCTTTGTATTTATTTTATGGTGATACATTCCTATTTATGGTGAAAAAACTTATTTTTGGACATACAAGTCACCTTCTCTACTTTTCTATATACCTTTTTCCCCTTCTGAGTACTTTTATTTTCATTTATTCATTGACTTATTAAAGCCATTTCATCAGGAGCAATTTGCTATATGAAAATGTAACTCATAATGGTCCATAAAATCCACAGAAACCTGCAGGTTAATTCAGTTCTCTTCAACAACTTTGTTGCAGCAGTCAGTCATGTCTTCCTAAGCCACCTGCCTACCTGAGACTTTCAAGTGTTTACAGATGCCACCAAGCCAAGTCCTGAACCTTTCTGGGGAATCCTTTTTAATGAGAACATCCATGCCTACTGTTAATCCACCTACCCTACCACCCTCTGACCTAATTTCCATATATTTCCTTTTGAAACAAATTCTATGAGCTGTATCATTTGAAAGTCTCTGATCATTTATTTCACATTAAGGTGAATGAATTTTTCTTTCTAATGGCCTTTGCAATTAAAATATAGGATGATATAAGCTACTACTTTGACCAAATTAACATTGCTCTAATTGGCTAATTTCCAGCAAGATGGCATGATTTTCAGATGGTGTATATGTCAACAGAAACAGTCATCCTCAAAGTCATCTCTCCTGGTACTTTGTGTAAGGAAGATAATAATTAATGACCCTCATTTCTGTTTCATGTTTCTTTTACTCATTCTTTTTCTTTTATCTAAAAGTCATACATAACTAGGTGCATTTTTTTGTTTGTTTAACTTAGTAGGAGTGAGAATGCCAATTTCTATACAATTTGCACTTTCATTTTGCCACTTTGTTATGAAATCTTGAGTAAGTCACTACAGTCTCTTCAAAATTCAATTTCCTCAAATATCAAAGGAAGAAAATATTGGGTTGTCAGAAAAATCATGATGTGTTTATTCTATGTAAAAATGCTTCATGACTTTTCTGACAACCAATAGGACTCATTGTGAATAGTGACTAGCATGAAGTAGTTGGACTGAATGAATAAACAAATGAACGAATGGATACAATATAATTGAAAATTAGATAAGATAATGTATCACATGTGTACATATTAATTAGAATACAGAAGATACTAGGTGTGTTTTTTCTCTCCTCTGCAAGAAAGGAACAAGAAAAGTACATCTGAAATTACCCTTGTCTCCAAGAATCTCTCATATGATCCATCTGATCACTGGACCTTTCTCCCAGGTCTAATTCTATGTCCTCTGAGTAACAGCAGGGCAGTGTTCTACAGCACCCTGGGGGAACTGTGACAAAACCAGCTGACCCTGAATGATCATATTGTACTCATGCTTTTCTTTTGTCCCTTTTCTACCATTTAAATGATCTAATCAGTGTGTTGTCTCTTCAGGGCTTGTATACTCTAAGAAAGAAGAGAGTTACCTGGATTTTTCATATTTTGGAGGAAGGAAGTCTGGGAGAAAGTTTTTCTCCATTGCCAAATGGTGTATATGCATGAGAGAGTACAGTTCAGTATGACAATATAGAGAGAAAGAGAGGGACAAAAGAGATAAAGCGAGAAAGAAACCACAACTGTATGATCTAACTCAGAAGGAAGACATGAGTAAAGGTAGCCAGTATGAACACATAATAAAGGAATGTGATTCAGCATAAAAACTAAAAAGCAAAAAATCTATCAATATATCACTATTCAGTAAATGGTTATTGTATATTTGAAGACGGCAGTATTATTGTCCAAAGGATATTGGGTCACAAGCATAATCAAGTCAACAAAGTTTGGAGTGAAATTATTTCATAAACATCTCTGAATTTCAGGTTTCTATTAATGCTTTTAAAAATAAGTTGCTGAGTGATATAGCATTGGATGACATTAGCCTAACACATGGCATTTGTAATGAGAGTCTTTATCCAGAACCGACTTTGGTCCCAACATCTCCACCAGAACTTCCTAGTAAGTAACCATAATGTGTATTTTCTCTTACTAATTCCATAATATTTTCAAGTAGATCTTATTTTGCCTTATTTTTGTTATCTTAAACCTAGTAATATTTTAACTAAAAAAAATAAAAAACTTTAAAATATAAACAAAATGGATGTTAACACAATATTACATGTTACATATAAACCCATGGTGAAAATTTGAAAGTAATAAAGGTGCAAATTTCCACTTTATTTTCACTAGAACACAAACTAACTCTGTATTGGCCATGTGCCATGACCTATAGAGTCGTATTTATGCATAATACATATGTGGAATATATATATATATATATATATACGCACACACACATATGTACATACATACATACATACACACACACAAACACACACACACATACATATTTTTTTGGTGCCAGTGAGTTTGTGCACTCATCAAATATAGCAAGAAAGAAAAAAAGAGACAGAGAAAAACATCCCCCAATGAGGCAGAGTCATACTGTAATCCTTTCCTCCATTTCTTCATCCCATCTTGATTTTAAGCATGCATGCATATATGACTGGCATGCTTTCAATCCTTAAGAGACAGAATATTTAAATTGAGTTCAAATATGTGGGATCTAATTTTCTCTGAATAGCACTTAATCACTGTGCTATGGGAGTCAGCCTGCTCATGGGTCTTCTTATGGAGTGATTTTAAGATCTCAGGAAGAGTTTAGCTAAGTCTGAACCCCTACAAGCTCATTTTTAGAATAATTTCATAGCAATGATTAGACTGGACTTTGAACCTGGAGACTTAGTTTGCACAAAAGGTTTTTGTCCTGAAATGATGACTTTGTGAGACTTTACAGTATGCCCCCTTCATAGAGCTCCTTATAAGTTGCACCTTAGTAGGAATCAGGATTTTTTTTTAGTGTCCTGGGGGTTCTTTAAACTCAAAATAATAATATGGAGCTTCTGTCTACCTGTGCTCTTAAGTCAAATTGGAAATATGATATTTGAGATGTAAACGTGTGACCATTTATCTTATCCATGTCAAAGGAGACAATCATTTCATCCCACTTTCAGACTACAGGTTTTTATAGAAAAAATAAAAAAGAAAAACATAAACAAAGATAAATGATATTGATTGTCACTCTTTTGTGATATTTCATTGCATTTTTGCCTTTATGAAAAAATACTCTTTTTTTTTTTTTTTTTTTTTGAGCGGGTTTTCCTATAGGGGGGCA